AATCAAATTAAAAACCTTTAGTTGTTAGTCATTGAAATTTTTGTTAATGTGTCATCATTGTTAATCTTTTTCTTCCATTACAATAAATTAGGAATTCAAAATTTTTGGTAATATGCTATCATTGTTAATCTTATTCTTCCATTACAACAAACTAGAAATTCAAGGTGAAGGTTTAAAAGTAAGCAATTAGGTACTATTGTTTCATTTCATTGTTATTTATTCATTAAAGACCCATAATTTGAATCATATATAGATAATTTAGTTTTGTGTCTATATTTGCATAGAAAACAACCTTTTACTCATCTAAAATAGAAAAGAAATAAACAAATTAGAATTGATATTGATTCTCAAAAGGTGCTCTCAATAATATTTTTTGTTAAACATATTATAATTTTTCTTCGAAATGATACAAATCTAGATAATCTAGACTTCAGATCTAAAAATTTTGGGAATGAAAAATCATATAAAAATAATGAAGAGTCTGATATTTCAATTAAAAATAATAAAAATATAGATGAATATCATGATAAAATTAAATATTTTTATGATAAAAATGACCATATCCATGTTGAACAACCTAATTGATTTATTAGACATTTATGATCTAATAACATGAAATAATTTTAGAAGTGATTTAAAAGATGAATTACAAAAAAAATGTTATTAAATGAGATATATCTACTTTAAATGGTCCAAAAACTACTTGTAATATCCTACTAATTTTACAATAAAGATACAAGGACAATACTGAAATAATTAAAGACATCACATTTCTGATTAACTTATAATATGAGGATTCTTTATTTAATACTTTTTTTTAATAATTTCTCTACCATTAGTTGAAATTATTAAAAATCATATATTTTTGGTGGATCTTATAAGAGTGTTAGAGAAAAATGTTGCTAACGTTTCTCAAAGTGAAGATTTTTTCCCTTATATACATGAATTTAACTATAACACTAATCAATACATGGCTTATATTTTCTCAATATGCCTCCTCATGCCTGACAATATTGTGTTTGGTGTGTTGATAATATGATAGTTGACTCATTAATGGATTTGTGATAAAATTTGCTACTATCTTAGAATATAAATTTAGAACCAACTCAATTAATTGCACATAACCAATTTAGAAGGTGGGATTGATCTACCACTTGTATTTGCTAATTTGGCCTTTTCATTATTCAATTTAAAACTTTTATTTTTTTTTCTTCCATTAATGTGTTTTTTAAATAGTGATTTAGATAGCATTAATATTTTTTTAAAATTTAAATCTTAAGGTGTTTTTAAAATTCATTAAACTAATTAGGTTAACCCTACCTATTTATTATTTTGAACGATAACATTCTCTCCCTATATATAAGTTAAGAGAAATAATGAAACAATCTTTTACACTTTCTTACCAATACTTTTTATTAATGAAAACCTCAAGGAGAGATTAGATTGATGTAGTTTCTCTTTCAAGCTTCTAGGATAGATCTTTAGCTTCTTGGACTCCTTCAAGATTCTTTAATGGCTTACTAAGGTGTTAGAAGTCATGTCAAACACACATAGAAAAGATAGGATCTCCCTTGGTTACGCCACACTCTTGTAGAGTGATAAGTCCCTTTAAATTCTCACCACACTCAAGAAAGGATAAGAGAAAAGGAACAAGTTTCAAGGAGAGAAACAAGTTTTGAAAGAGAGAATTAGAGAAAAGTTCATCTAACTCAATAAATGCTCAAAAACTGTTTAGCCAATACAAGGAAAAATCATATATAGGATCTTTAGCTTCTTGGACTCCTTTAAGCTCCTACAATGACTTCTTAAGGAGTTAGAAGCCATGCTAAACACACATGGAAGAGATAGGATCTCCCATGGTGACGCCACACTCTTATAAAGTGATAAGTTCGTTCAAATTCTCACCACACTCAAGAGATGATAAGAGAAAAGGAAGAATTTTTAAGGAGAGGAACAAGCTTTGAGAGAGAGAATTAGAGAAAAATTCATCTAACTCAATAAAATGCTCAAAAACTATTCGACCAGTACAAGAAAAAATCATATATAGGACTTGGTTGGCTTATGATGCAAGCTAAACTAACCATGGTCAATTGTAACCATGATTAGCTATTTTGTACTTAAGCTAACCAACCCTGATTAAGTGTCTAGAAGCTTATGGAATAAACTAAGTTAATCCTAATTTATAAGCAACCTAGGTTAGTTTAAGTTAACTCCAACTACCTAACATAATCATTACAACTAACAAAATAATTATTACTTTTAACAAGTTTGTTGAGATGTCATTATCAAAGCTATGTGACTTATTTAACAACTTGGATGGCTAAATTGGCTAGGTTTGGACATCCAAACTACTTGCATAAGCAAGTAAACATCCAAACCTATGGACCATGGAAAAAGTTTGGGCCATCTAAGCCCTATGACTTAAGCTAGTTGCACCTCCTCTAAACTACTAATTACACCCTTACGGAAAAATTATACAAGGACAAAAATTCTTATACTACTTGACCCAAAATACAAGATAAAAAATAACATATATAATAGAAGACTAAACAACTAGGAGAACATATACTTTATATTCATAAATCACATCATCCTCTTTAGTAACTTCCTCTAATCTCCTAATCATAGACCTTGTCAAAGGTCCTATGATCTTCAAGCATGATCCTCCATCATCTATTTTATTGGTTAAAAATCACAAATTTTAATGGGTTTTACCACTAAATCAAAATAGAGAATCATTAAATGAAATGCAAAACCTACAAAAGTTACTACTTTTAATGAATCTTTGTCAATAATAATAAAGAATGTTAAAAAGAAAGTATTAAAAAAAAATGTTGGTAGCATTTTTCATAAATTAAAATAATCAAATTGAATGAAATCATTTTTAATGTTATTATTTAACAAGAGCGTTTGTATGAGTTTTTCATAACCTCTTATCTTGTTTAATATACTATTCAATATCATCTTTATTTCTAAATTGAAATTTATTATTTAAAAATATTAATATTAAAAAAATCTTATATTATAATATAAATTATTATGTCTATAATATAAAGGTAGATGAGTGGTTGAACTAGAGCTGTCAAAATGGGCTTGGCCCGGCGAGCCAACCCGGCTCACCACGGGTTCGAGCCGGGTTGGGTTAAAAAAAATTTGAAAATTTTAATACGGGTCAAATTTGAACCCGGCTCACCACCAACCCGTGATTAACTTTTTTTTTGAAAAAATATAATAATTATTAGGTCATGGAGCAGTCCAACATGAGACAATAATAATTTAATGTTGGATTGTGATTTGTAATTTTTGTGATTTTGGATTGTATTTGAAGTTTAAGATAATTTTGGATTATATTTATCTATTTGAGATTATTTAGATTTGATTTGATTGTATTTAAAATTATCATTTAATATTTGGGATGAATAATTCATTTAAGGATGTCTTAATTAAGAATCTCATATTTTTAAAATAAGTTTAAATTTTTGGGCTTTAGTTGTATATTAAGAAAAAAAAAATTTATTTTTTTAAAGGTGAGCCAACCCGTTTAACCTACCAACCCGTGGTGGGCCGGGCCGGGCTCGATTTTTTTGAGCTCACTGATAAATAAGTCGGGTTGGGTTGACCCACCAAATGGCCAACCCGTGGTGGGCCGGGCCGGGTAGCCCGTTTTGACAGCTCTAGGTTGAACAATAAGAATTGTGCGATTTTAGTTCCAAAAATTTTAATTGAGCAATTTTAGTTTATATTACAATTATTATACTTAAAAAACTAAAATAGTACGATTATAATATTTGAGGAACTAAAGTTGTTTAATTAAAATTTGAAAAATCAAAATCACACAATTGTAATATTTAAAAAATTAAAATTATTTATTTAAAATTTTAGGAGCCAAAATCGGAAAATTCCAATACAAGATATTGGAAACCACTCTTGTGAAGTCAAATTACGTCGAGTTATCAAATAACTCTAATGACTCGTTCATGCTCCATACAATAAATACATGCATCGAACTGAAGAAGAACAAAGGTGCTTCTATGAGACTTTTAATGTTATTTAAATTAATTTTTTAACATGTGATTTTTCTCGTATAGAATTTTCCTATTGGGCTTGAGAAATATGTTCAGCGAAGCTGAAAAAGAAATATCCATGATACAACCTTGCATGACATAGATATAATGGTCTTCACCATACTGATCAATAGAGTTGGGATGCAGCCACAAAAAATACGACAAACACAAGATGGTAAATATGGATATGTGAATAATTACTCTCACAACATTTAGCAGCAGAATTGTATTACTTGTCCAAATCTTGTAGTGCAGACACAAGATGTGTTTATAGCAACCCTTTTATTTTTATCACAATGTCAGCACTTGTCCTTTCATTTGCTAAATTCTTGGTACCGGTGGACAACTAACAGTCAAACATGTATCCAGAATAAATCAACCTCTTAAACAATACGATTTTTTTTTTCTTAATTAAAGATCAAGTCATCTTTTTTTTTTTTTTTTTGACAGCAAGATCAAGTCATGTTATAGTATAGGAACTATTTAAGCTGTGAAATATGATTTCGTTTGTTGCATGGTGACATCTCTTACTTTTTATGCTCCTGTTAGTGCCCACGTTGCTTATAATTTGCAGTCAAGAGACGTGACCAAAAGATTTGATGCCAACTGATCAAAAATTAAGGGATAACGAAAAAGCGAATCATTGTAACTGTCATAGTACTGCCCAGTTACTCACAGGATATGCTACACAATGAAATTATTATGAAAATTTATAACAAAATTTGAGTCAAACTAAAATTTTACGTCAATAATCTACGTTGATAATTAATAGAAATCTTTATTATATAACCATCAAAATAAAACTCTAATTCTAATTAAATAACAATATCAAAAGCATTCATGAAGTTACATCTAAGTTTTGTCCTAAAACTTATCTTTGTTCTCCAATTTACTGGCCAAAGAAAACAAACCCCTTAAAGAATACTTCTCTAAGAGATATAGCACTGGCAATTCCTATTATACTTGAAATGGATGATTACAAAACGTTCTTCGACTGCAAAATCCAGGTTTACATATCAATCTCAATAAGTTCCTGTATAGCCTATCCTTCCTAAATTTTCTATATACAAAAAATTTATTACACAAGCACACAATAAGAATTGTGAATAAATATGATCCGAAACAGATTGGACATCACCTCCAGCTGAAATTTCTCTTTCTCATAGAACCGGTCACAAATAATTAATCTTTGGCACAACACCCAGGCAAAATCTATCCTGGTTGAAGAACTAGGAAAGCTTCATTTAACAAGGAAACCCTCATAATTACACGGTCGCCATCAAGAGAAACGACAAAGCAACAAGCACAAGAAACAGAGTGTCACGGCTGTAGAGGCCTGCAGAACATAAAATACAGTCGGTCAGTGGTTGACACCAAATTAATGGATATGCTCAAATCAAAGATCTGGTGTTACTCAGTAGAGTAGTTATTGTAAAAGTCAATATAACTTTGCATCATTGTAAATAGGCTCGGTAGGTTAGTTAGTTAGAAGAATGGTTTTTTGGTTTTTCCTCTCTGTTAGCTGTTACTGCTAACCCATCTTTCTTCTATATAAACATGTATTTTCTTTTCTGACATTCAGTGTGAATAATTTCTCAATATTCAGTTTTTTCTTTCCTTTTATGAGATGACAGCATTCCAATTTCTAAAATTTCTTTAGTTAACAGTTCCAATCTAACAGAGGTATTCAGACTAATCACTCCAATTAAAACTGGAAAAAAAAAAAAATTTTGACTCCAAAATGTGAATAAACTGGAAAACCAAAAAATATAAAATTTGAATTGTGTTGGGGGATTCAAATTTGAAAACCAATTCAATACAAAATGAATCGAAGTTGCCGGTGTGTTTTAAATCCTAAGAATTTCTTATGTTATCCGTATTTATTTAGGAACTTTGTCATTAAATTTGAACATATATACATGATTGAGAAATAATTTTGAAACTATATTTAGAATTTAGATTGTATTTTGATATACTAAGATAAATTTGTTTGAACATGTAATTCTTGTATTTTAACAAATAAGTTTATATTTGTACTTGATTTATTTTGATGAAATTAGATTTCTGCATTTCGACAAATTTACTTATTAAAATAAGACTTAAATATGTTTTTGGCTTTTATAAGATGAACAAATTTTGATTTTAATCTATGTAAAAAAAATATTTTTCATCTCTCTAAAATTTAAAATTACTATTTTTAGTCCATATTATCATGGTTTTGAAAACTGAATCAAACTGGTTTGTCAGATTGGTTTGATCAGGAATTGGTCCTTAACTAGTTCGGTTGGTTCAGAAAACCATTTTGTAACGAACCAGTAGAAAACTGGTCCAGAACCAGTCAAATTCGGTGAATCCAGATTTAACCGGTCTAGTTAAAAAAAAAAAAAAAATTTAATTTTTAAAATTTAATTTAAAGTATTTTTTAATAAAAATAAATATTTGATAAAAAAATTATAAATTAGAATAACTTATTTTTAATATTTTTATAAATATAATTTAATCATTTAAGTTAATTTGTAAATTTTAACCTTTACTTTTTATAATTTACATTATATTAATTTGATACTTTTTATTCTAGATGTAAGCTTGTAATTATTAACAAACATTGTTATATTTTATTAAAATTTAAACTTAAATATTATATCATATTTATTTTATGATTTTCCATGTATATTAAATATTAAGAACTTATAAATAACATTTTATTTTAATTTTTAGTGTTATAAAATTTATGATATTATATTTATTTAATATTATTTTAGTATTAGAAAATAACCATTGAACATTGCATCGATGTTTAAACCGGTTTAATGACCGGCCTGAGTTTGAAAACATTGCTTAGAAGTTAGAACTATCTATGATAACATGTTAGCATGCGACATATTTAAAAAAAAAAAAAAAAAGATCTTAAAGTATGTTATTTATCTACCTTGAAATCAAAAAAGACATTAAACATAGTGATTTTAGATTTTAGAGTGATGAAAAATAAAGAGAAGTATTTTATAAGGACAAACCAAAATTTACTCATTTTTACAAAGACCAAAATCAATTATTCCAGATTTCAGAGAGATAAAAAACAAATTTTTTATAGAAATCAAAATCAAAACTAGCTCATTTTTCATATTAAAAATATATTTTAAAGAAAACTGGAAAACCAATTCCATTCAACAATTTTAGATTGGACGAGATTTACACTTTGAACCAAATCATTGAATGACATTGTAAGAAAACCGATTATGTTGGATCCGGTAGCTTTTCCCAAAAAACTGATCCAATTAGGCATGGCAACAGGGCGGGACGGGGGCGGGTAACGTAAACTTAAACCGCCTCCGCCCCCAATACCTGCTGGGAGTAAAATATGGGTCCCCATCCCCGCCTCCGGCGGGGTTCGGGTTTGCCCGCCCCGCCCTCACCCCCACTCCTATTTTTTTTCTTTTTTTTTAAAATAAATATGAACAAATTAAAAAAAAAAAGAAAGTAAAATAATATAAATTTTTACATATAAATATTTCTAATTTTAGTTTATATATATATAAAAATAATTTTTTAGTTATATTATTAA